GTTATGACGTAATTTTAATTGAGAACAGTGCATCTGACAACAAACAAATACCTTTTAGATCCTCAATTATTTTGCAACAAATCTGATCTCTTAGTTTGCTTTCAGTCGATGCACGATACCGCATCAGATTTTTAAGGAATTTATCCTTAAGTAAAGCGATTTTTAATTTTTTGAGCGAAAACCATGCGTCGGACAAAGAAAACCCATCAGATCAAATATGCTCGAAAATGTATGGAGATTTTAAAAATAATTTTTAATTCGAGATAAAGCAGTGGCGTAGTATTTTTTCGCCAAAAATATACATTTCATAACTCGTACGTACGCCACTGGCAGAGAAAATTAAGAAAAATTGTACATCAGAAAATGCGCCTTGAGGCATGGAACATATGTACCAAATATGCCAAAGATGTCTACAAAATTATCTCAGTTATTATTAAAAAACTGATTATTTTTGAAAACTTCGCCACCCTGTATCTCAAAAGTTAGGCATTTAGGACATACGTCCATAGGACGTTTTTTCCTTAAAATGGGTCTAAGAATTACCTCCTTAAATATTAGCATGTGTTTAAGGAACACCCTGTACAGTATATATATATATATATATATATACATTATAGTCTTAGTAGCTGAGGTCATTACATGATGAAAGGAAGAATATTTTTGGATATTTTCATTCATATCATAAATCATAAACCTCCAATATCTGGAAACTTAAAAGTCTCGACCACAAACTACTTTAGAGTAAGTGGTTTGCGGTCTCGACTATAATAAGTCAGAAAGTCCGTTTACAAAATTTCTTAAATCAGGGAATGGTCTAGAGTAATTTCGTTGCACACTTCAAAAGTCTAATATATCTCCAAACACTTCTAGAGGTGTCGTATCAGGTGGTCTAATGGGCTCCTTCTAGAGATCACTGTTGCCTATCTACCGGTTTGGATATTTGACAAATCCAAAAATGAATTTACAACTGATGATATGTTTCAGTAAGGCGAAGTACCTCCCTATACGACAGACTGATTCTAAAATGACTTGGTGACAAATATCTTAACCAGTTTGAAAGGCAAACACAGTCCCTTGAAATGGCTCGCTAGATCACCTGATATGACGCCCATAGATGAAGAATCCCTTATACAACAGCAGGATATTCGGGAACTCATGGATAATATAAAAGGTGCTTCTAACTAAATTACCTTAGAAATATTCCACAATGAATTCGGAAGAATGATGAACATTTTAAACATTCATTGGGATGAGCTGGGGTGAGTTTCAAATCTATTTTTATTGGAATTATGATATTTATCGTTCGTTTGCAGATTCTTGAGACGATTTTGAAACTATTGAATGATGCTGGATGGTGATTGATTGGATCAACAATTGCAGGAACTGCACTTGGTGCTAACTTTATATCGCAATTCTGGTAAACACTGTATGAATATAAACTCACCTATCAATATAACAAGTGCAGCAGCTGTTGATGCTACAGCTAAACCAACAAGTGTAGCTACACTGTTCATTTTTGACTGAAATAATTACGCATTTCCAAGTTACAATGTCATGGTATATTCACGAAAGTTGGTCATTAGGTCTATTTGATTTTCCGCCTGGTTTCATTAATTTCTGATGTTCAACAGATAAGTTGTGATGAAAATCACTAGTACTTCCGATATACCATAATTACGAAAATGCGGCCATTCATTTATTGGGATGTTTATTGTTATCATGAACTATGGAAACACCATTGACGGGTAGGACTTTTTTCTACGAAGATTCGATGAATTCAGTTTTTTCACGATTGAAGCAGGTGCCAAAAAATGTCGCACCTTTCTAGATGTCAGAACGCTTGGTATTTTTTTTCAATCTGTCTGTGTTTTCATCACCCACTTCCACACACATTTGGCCTGCTCCAGAGCCTATTCAGCGAACGCAAATAGTAGTATATGGTCGTTTACCTTCAGTTCCTGGGTCAGTTGAATTTTGTACCGGTGCAGGCCCAAGTCACGACGCAAAATTCGCCAAGTTATGGTCTGCGAAAGGCCAAGTTCTTGTGAGCGACGCGAAATCGACTGCCTCGGATTCTTCTGCACACTCTCACAGACAGCGGCGATGTAGAGGTTCAATGTTTCTCACTCTTCATTTCATCACATATGATATTTCAACATCTTCTAGAGTGGTTAACAATCTCTATTACTTGATTTTTAAGGTTTTTTTCTTTGGACGTTGCTGAAAGCTTTTCAACGACATGGGTTTTCCCTTCTGTTTGAATTAAACAACGTTTCCCAGTAATCCCAATCGATATGAGGCAAGTCGTATATACAGTTCGGCTACTGGATCACAGGTGGCGCAAGAGATCTCTTCGAAGGATTCTACAATTTGAAAATTTCAAATATTTGACATTCTATGCATTGAAGAACGATGAATAGCTATTTGGAATGTGTACAGTTTTTTATTATTTTTCCACAGAGGACTAATAAAAATGGTTTGCTTTTAAGACACCATCTGAACTAAACACATCTCATTATCCATCTGGCTCTACCAGATGACGAATATAAATTGATTTTTAAAATGTTTCTATCATAATTATCATTTAATGACGATTCGTATATGCACTTTTCATTGGTAATGTACCCACTAGCATTGACTAATTAGTTCTAATAGAAATCTATCTTTCAATGAGTTATCTTTTTCACCAATAGATGGCGAAAGAATTAAGATTTGTGAATTTATCAGAATATTTTTTTCTGCCATTGATCATGAGTAGGGACTCGCTTTTCTCTTGAAAAAACAACGTTTTATACTTTGAACATCAATTCATTACCCTTTTATCTTGTGCATCATGAATAATAAGCATAATATTATTGGAGGTCTTCAGCAAATTTGTTTGATGCCTGTAAAATGTTCATCCAGAAGTGTTTCATTCCAAAAATAGCAGATGGAGCCATTATTCCCTAATTCGATATAATTCCGTCAGCATAAAATTTGGGTACTCGGGATTTGATGAAGCAGATGAAAGCCGTTTTTACCCGGTTCTGTTTGCAAAGGTTTTACCGGTGAGACAGTTACCCAAGTGCTTGAAACTATGGTGAGAGGTCTGGGCACATCGAAAAATATAAATACGTAGAACAGACTGCGCAACGTAATTACCAACTGCTGCAGGAAATGATGCTGCAGGGGTGATGATTATCAGCAATTGCGTGATTTAGTCTGGCAATGTGATTTAGCATTTTTAGTAGATTTTACTGGAAAACTGAGCACACTAAATCCGGAACAGAAATGATGAGTTCTATTGCAGCATTTCGAAGACAAACAGCGTCTATGATAGTTGACAAGGAAAAGAAAAGCTCTGTTATGCCAGCGACGCAAAGTACGGAAATCTCATTTACAAAATGCCAAAATTAGGTACTTTTTAGGTGCTTTTTAGGTATCAAGTCAAAAATTAGGTGCTCTGTAACTTACACCGCAACTCAATACTCAAAGTTGCGTTGCTAGCATTATGTAATGCTAGTAACGCAGTGAAAATAATAATGAAATGATGAATGTTAAGGAAACACTATTAAGTGCTTCTGAAGTGCTAAACGGTGAGGATCGTAAAATTTTCTAATTAATAAACAAAAACTTCCAATTTCGGAAACAACAGATCTAAGAATCAGGTCTCTCAAAAACGAGAACGAATGCTCAATCGAGTATAAACTAAGCATGGTCATAAAGTGCTAATACGGGCTCACAAGAAATTAAAATGTAAGCGACCGTGAATAAGCGGAAAAGAATTCGGGATACCTGATTTGAGAAAAAATAATAACAATTTAATAAATAAGGGCAAGAGAATAAAGTGCTTGTGCTCACTAGATATTTATAGTAGACCTAGATTCCATAATGCCTATGGGGCTTATAGATCTGAAAACCACTATGACTGATGGACTGAGTTCTTACAGTACAATAATGAAGGGCATGAGAATAAAGTGCTAGTTAGGTACTCATTAGATATTTATATGTCAAGAATTGAATAACATAACATTTCGATCCTCATTTTTACAAAAAAAAGTTAGAAAGAAAGTCACAACTTTCTTATTTTAAACACATGTTTTTTTTTCATTAGCTGGCGTTTGCAAGATGACTTTTAACAGGTTCGTCTATATTGAATATAGACCGTCTACAATTTTTTTTAGAATGTTACAAAAATTTTTTAGAAGTGCAGCTCGATATCTCAACTCTTTATGGAGGTCACTGAATTTATAATTTTCTATAATTAGTGAAAAAAACTTAAAAATACTGATCCATTGCAGCAGTAATGAGATGTTCATTTTGACATATTGTTACTTCAATTATTGCAACTTGCTCAACTAACAATAATTTCTCATTTTTCTCAATTCATGAGATTGATATTTTTTTATTGAATCTAAAGTAAAATTTGAATCAGTATTGGTGGTTTTCAGGTCCATGAGCCTCATAGCTATTATGGGATCTAGATTTACTATAAATATCTAATGAGCACCTAATTAGCAATTTATCTTAAATTTACACAGAAAATGGCACCTATTTGTTCAAGTTCACTATTTTTTCCCTAATTTCTGAATTTGAGGTATTAGATTTGATCCATAACCTGAAAAACATGTATTCATGTGGGAATGATGGAATATATAATAATCTTTTCGACTTTACAAGTCAGCATGGTTTCACAAATGACAGAAGTACTGAAACTGCTTTATATAATTCTCAAGAAAATGTAATAACAGCCTTGGATGGAAAAGTCCCGATTTGTGAGATATTTATTGACTTTTCTCGGGCCTTTGATTGTGTTAATCATGACCTCTTATTAATTAAGCTTGAGCGATATGGTATAAGGGGTGTAGCATTGAATTCAAGGAAATCATACTTAACTGATTCGATCCCAGAGTGTAATCATCAACACAACTAGGAGCCAATCTCTCATTGTTAAGCAGGGAGTTCTCCATGGCTCAATTCTTGGACCTTTGTTATTTTTAATCTATGCTAATGATCTCATTAATTTCCTTCTTGACATCTCTAAAGTCCAAGTAGTATCATGTGCTGATGATAGAAATCTACTCATAACTGGTGCAGATACTACTGAACTTGTGATAACATCAGAAATGGTATACAATAAAGTAATGGAGTGGTCCGAAATAAATCATCTAACGGTGAATGTATCTAAAACCTCTTTGATGAAATTTACTTTGAGAACTATGGAACAGTTTCAAATTTTTAAGGACAATGAAATGAATATATTTGCTAGTGAAACGACTAAGTTGCTAGGACTAACAATCGACTATAAATTGTGCTGGGAACCAGAAATCAGGTATCCCGAATTTTTTTTCCGCTTGTTCACGGTCGTTTTCATCTTAATTTCTTGCAAGCACCTAATTAGCACTTTATTACCACGCTTGGTTTACACCTGATTGAGCATTCGTCCTCGTTTTCGAGAGACCTGATTCTTAGATCTGTTGTTTAGCGAAATTGGAAGCTTTTGTTTATTAATTAGGAAATTTTACGATCCTCACCAGTTATCACTTAATAAGTTCCTAAAAGTGTTTCCTCAACATTCATTATTTCATTATTATTTCATTGCTAACATTACATAATGCTAGCAAAGCAACTTTGAATATTGAGTTGCGGTGTAAGTTACAGAGCACCTAATTTTTGACTTCGGTACCTAAAAAGCACCTGAAAAGTACCTACTTTCGACATTTTATAAACGCGATTTCCATACTTTGCGTCGCTGGCGTAACAGAGCTAAAAGAAAAATGTTCAACAATTTGTGAACATCAAGGATCATATGAAAAAACATACTACCCACAATTTCATTCCTGAAGTTAAGGCAGTGGTTTCAGACTTCGAAATTCACTTCAGTGATTTGAAAAAAATATGGATCTAGTGGAATACTTCAGTTACCCATTTGATAAGTCACTTCTGAGTTACAACTATTTTATACTCAAACATATTACCTACTTATGAATGAATCTACCTGAAAAGGTCAAGAATAAATTCATTAACTATATGAATAAATTAAATTTTCGAAAGAACCCTAATTATACTTTCCTTACCTGGAAATGAACAGATTCAATAATAGCGAATTATTAGGTTCAGTTTGATCGTTCACAAGATATTGTTTATTTCCATAGCCTCCAACAGATTAAGTTTTAAACCTTTCTTCTGGAAATGGAGGGGCTTGAATTCATGGTTGAACTCATGTCCCTCTGTGATTGAATAAGTGGAATATGTGGAGTTCATTTTTCTATTCTGGAAACTATTTCTGTGTTTTTTTATTCAGGCTTTGTAAACTTCCTTCAAAGCTTGGCTGTATAACTTTTTTGATAATAGAGAATGTATTAAACTGCTATCGTAACCATTCTAGACGGCTACTTGTTTTATTATGTTCAGTTCTTTATTGAAATTCGCATCTGACAAGGGAACATTTATCAGTCTGTGGATCATACTGTTGAATGCTGCTGCTTTGTGCTGATATGGGTGGGTGGATGAATTATGAATGATAATATCTGTATCTGCCGGTTTACGATAAATGAAAAAATCATGTTTATTGTTAACTTTCGTTATTATCAAGTCCAAAAAATTTATGGAGTTGTCCTTTTCTACCTCCATGTTAAATGAGATAG